TTAGACCAGAGGATTCTAGACACGAGGATTCCAGACCCGAGGAATGCAGACCCAAGGATTGCAGACCCGACCGATGAGGCCCTAAAAGACGTGATCAGAGGCCGTCACAGACGCCATCAGATGCTGTCACAGACGCCATCAGAGGCCGTCACAGACGTCACGCACGCCCGGGCCGCGGCGCCCACCGATGTCATCGCCGGACGTCATCGTCCCGTCGGCGTCACCATGAGATGTGGGACGCACGACCGACCGGCGCCCGGACGTCATGACGTCACGAATCGCGCCCGCGGCCACAGCTGAACACGCTCGTGCGGCGGCACTGACCACATAGCCTGAGCCCGTTACGTCGGAGGCAGCATCCAGCCTCCAAGCCCATGCTCTGGACCTGCGTCGCGTCAGGCCGCGGCCAGCCCGCCTTCACCGTCCGCCAGCCACGCCAGCCAGCCAGCCACAACGCAACAACGCCAGCCAGCCACACGTCCGCGTTCCCGTCACATAGGCCAGCACGAATGAGCGGCGTGCTTCCCGTTACACAGCCGGCTCACTCTGCGGTCCCAATGTGCGAGGTGTTGCCGGAGGTGTGAGGACCGTCGTTCACAAGGACGGTCCGCGGGCCGATGAACGCTTCAGAGACGAAACAAAGCGGATGTACGCACGTGGTCATTATCGGCTGACATGACATATGCTATTCACCACACGGCGGTCGGTTCAGTGTCTCCTCGGCGCCAGGCGATGGTCAGACCGACAAAGGGACGCGCTACGACGCCATGTCGTATTGTACTACGACACCGTGTCGATAATACGACACATCGCGCCGCGATGACCGGCATGTTCGTCTGCGACGCTCTTGATCCGATGATGCACGAAGGGTGCCGATAGTGAAGTGGTTAACGCATCTACGTTAACAACTGCACGTCTGGGAGACCAGTGGTACGGAGTTCGATTCCCGGTGCCAGATGCCCTTCCTCCCAGAGTGGAGGCAGGTGGCGTCAGTTAGCTTCAGCAGCTGAGTGCATCGTAAAGCACCAACAATAATGACGCCGGCGAGGCGCGAGACCAGGTTCCGAACGGCTGGGCCATGCGCCGTGCTGCCTGAGTGGCGGAGGGCGGACGCCGCGCTGCCGGAGTGGCGGAGGGCGGGCGCTGGCGAAGTGTGCCACTATTTGGTCTCTGGACAGGGAGCAAGAGCCGCACGTGTCATACGTGTCTGTCCCGATAGTTCAGCTGGTTAGAGCGCCTGCCTTCCGACTCACCCACCAGTGGAGGGGTGGGTTCGAGCTGTTTCATGCGCCCGCTGTTCGCCCTGACTGAAATGGTCCGAGGTCTAAGCGTAAATGTCAGGTCAAGTCAGAGGGTGGGAAGGATCGTGAGAAGCACTGCGGCAGACCAGGCTTTCGCCATGAAATTGAAACGTCGGCCCGGGATTTCACGGCCGCTGCTGTAGTCGGCCTCGCGCAATCCACGTTGTTTAGCGCAAGTTCTGATCTCAGACGTAAATGCAATAAACAGGTTCGTCGTAAATTCGAAAAGGAAAACACGTGCGTTACGGGCAAGTGATATTGCACGCCATGTAGAAACCGATATTGCTTCGAGGCAAACGTTCGGCGACAAATTGTTGTGCGGACTGCATTTGTGCAAATGAAATACACAAGTTAAAATCACGAGCTTTCGCGTGCACTTCGTTCAGTTCAGTGAGCGCTATCATCGTTCAGAGTAGTCAAGCCAATGCCACTCGTTCTTGCTCCGTGCAAGCACGAAAATGTGAAAGCATGCCAAGGGCGCAAGGCTTTATGTTCTGCCCCAGATCGCCAGGTTCGTCTTAGTTCTTAGCCTACCGTGACGATACTGACCCGTCACTAGCAAACCGCAGCCTAGAGGGGTCACTAGGAAACCGCAGCCTGAGGGGGTCACTACGAAAGCCCAGCCTGAAGGGGTCACTAGGAAACCGCGGCCTAAAGAGGTCACTAAGAAACCTCAGCCCGAAGGGGTCACTTAGAAACCTCAGCGTGAAGGGGTTACCAGGAAACCGCAGTCTAAAGGGGTCACCAGGAAACCGCAATCTACAGGGGTCACTAGGAAACCGCAGACTAAAGGGGTCACCAGGAAACCTCAACCTACAGGGGTCACTAGGAAACCGCAACCTAGAGGGGTCACTTGGAAAACGCACCCTAAAGGGGTCACTTGGAAACCGCAACCTAGAGAGGTCAGTAGGAAAACGCAACCTAAATAGGTCACTAGGAAACCACAAGCTAGAGGGGTCACGCCGGCTATCAAATCGCAGTGACCGAGTCACACATCCTAGAGGCGGCTATCGCATCATTCTCTGAATGGATCGCGGCGCACACGTCACGCCCCCTTTATGGAGAGCCAGCGAATGCACTGGTCATACAAGCGCTCGGGGGTCATGGCGCGACGGGGATTCCAACCCGGGACCCCACATGGGAGTCCGACGCGCTAACCACTCGGCCATTGCGCTCCGTACCCCAACTTACTAAGGTGGGATCTGAGAAGTGATTACATTTTCGACAAGACCAGTCGTGCTCGGTTACCGGCGACACGCGGGCCCAGGCTACGGACGGTGACTGCTCTAAGTTGTAACGGATTTTCACGTCAGTTTCCGAAACCAGTGACACCTTTTCAGTTTCCGAAACTAGCAATGCATTTTCGCGTCGGTTTCCGTAGCCAGTAACATATTTTCTCGTCGGTTTCCGTAACCAGTCAGCCTCCCACCCTTTAATAACAGAGTCGCGTGGCTCCCAAGCTCTCGGGACACGTATGCACCAAATTAGTGACTTTTGCAAGACTGCACTCGAAAAATCAAAGCAGCGCTCAAGGCTGCAGCACCTGCTGAATCATGAGAAGCCAGGCAGACTTCGTTTTGGAGTGCGAACAAGCCCCACCGCCCGTACCGCCACCCAGTGGCCCACCCAAGTGAAAAGCAGCTTCACTTGGGCGGAAGGGGTGATGTCCCTATTTACAAGAAGATAGAACAATTATTTCATTGCCGACATGTTGACATCGCAACAATGGGTTGGTGCATACAACGGTTGACTGCTCCCTACTTGTTCTTTATTCCTTCCTCTTTTTCAGGATCCAATTACCGTCCTGCTGGTCTGGTGCTGTCTACTGTTCGCTGAAGACTATATGTTCCTAGCGTGACAGTTACTCGTAATCGTTAGCAATGTTTGTTGCATTTGAACTGTTAGAACATACATATCAGGTGCCGAGCGACCTTTAGGAAGTTCTCTCAGCTGAGCTGTACAAGGTGCACAATACATCAACGAAAGCATGTTGCCACGATCTCGATTCAGTAGACGTTGAAGAAGCTATCTTTTGCGGCGTGGTGTGGAGCTGAGGATAACTGCGCCTGCCATATTTCTTATTCTTATCCAAGATCCCAGCTTTCTTATTCACGATACGTACAACGAGCAAGATGCATCCAATGGGCGCTTCTCAACCTACCGACAAATCCTGTACTCACTCAGATGCCAACTTTTGCGCATCATCTTTGTCAAAACACTTCTACACCGGATATGCCACAATGTGACAAGCATCTCTTATTGGGCTCATGTTAAGACCAAGGCCGTCGGATTATTGCTTTGCAGAATACTCAGAAAAGCAGGGGACCCCAGTGAATCGGAAACACATCACAACCTCCTGTGCAACTCAACTAGTGCCGATGTTTGAGAACCCCATCTTTATCAACGATTAAGCAGTGATGAAGAAGCACTACACCAGCTGTCAGAGTCAGCAGCTTGTCGGAGGCCAGCGGTCTATCAATACCTGGTCTGGTTCAGCGCGTTGGTGGGACTGCGCTACCGTCTTCAGGCATTTACACCATTGCTTGACGGACGGCGTTACAATTTGGGTAGCCGTGTGCGTCCAAACGAGCGAGAGGGGTCCGGCCGCCGACGCGACACCGGCGCCATCTATCACCGCCAGCGGGAGGCTGTCCGCCAACACGACGACGCCGGTGCCATCTATCGACGCCCACGGGCGTCCGGCCACCGACGCGACAGTGGCGCCACCTATCGGCGCCCGCAGGCGGCCCGGCGCGCCACCGCGCGCACGCAGAGGGCGCGCGGTCGGCTGAGAGTGTGACGCGGTGACCGAGAGCTTGATGTCATGTTGGCCGTTACATCAGTGGAGTGCAGTTGACCAATGGCATCGGTTAGATCGTAAGATGGTCGCTTCCAGCGACGATGGCAGTTGTAAGCGACCGTCGCCTAACTGAGAAAACGCCTGATGCGTCCCACCAAACTTTCCCAAAAATGCATCAAAAAAGTAAACGAGGGAGGCATTTAGCTCACCCGGGCTGAGAACGCAACGCAGTTGGATATCACGTGCCCCACGTTACGAAACAGTCAGCCGACGCGTGGTCTTGGCAACCTGGAACCTACCCTCCTTGACACCGAAATGCTATTCTGTGCACCCAGAATCCACCCAGTCATGATAAAGCACACAGTCGCTGCGACTCCCCAGCCCTCGATGTAGCCCGGCCGCTACAGACACCCAGCGTGGTGCCACTTCTTGCCACAAATAGCGGGCCTGCACCCGGTCAGATGGGTTCCACGGCCGCGGGCCCCAAGGGGACCAGCGTCAGCTCCAGACGCCGCACCCCCTCACCATCTCAGCGCGAGCCGCGCGCCAATGAGATCTCTCGGCATCAGTCCCGCACCTGTTCGCGCGCCGCCTCCCCACCACCCTCAGACACCGCACCGCCTCCCCACCACCTCAGCACGAGCCGCACGCCGCTGAGATCTCTCAGCACCAGTCCCGCACCTGTCCGCACCGCCTCACCACCACCCTCAGACACCGCACCGTCTCCCGACGACCTCAGCACGAGCCGCGCACCGCTGAGATCTTTCAGTACCAGTCCCGCACCTGTCCGCGCGCCACCTCACCACCATCCTCAGTCCACATAGCTGCCGGCCCCCTCCCGGCCGCACCGTTTCAGACCAACCATGGGCTGCCGACCGCTCGCAGCCCCAGCTCCATACCTGATCGTGCTGCTCCAGCACCAGCACCTTCTTGCCGGCCTTGGCCATGATGGCGGCCACGGAGAGACCGCCGATGCCGCTACCGATCACGATGGCGTCCAGGTCGGCCGGCACGCGGTCAGGCGAGAACGCTGCCGGCAGCGACATCTAGTAAGCACAGGTATAACACAAAGTTCGCGAAAGCGCGCACCGCCGCTGTCGCAGGCAAGCGGGCTGTGCCCACTACGCCGTGAATGATCGTGAACTTAGTGCAGATGACCATGATTTAGGCTACACGACACACCGAGCTTCCTGAAGAATTTGGGAAGTGAATGAGATATGTGGAAGCTGTCAAGCGAGGGCTCCAAGCTTTCACAAGAAAATGAATGAAACACTAATTGAGGCTAGAACGCGCACGCTTCCACGTAAAACACACACCTTGAAGGAAATCAAGGGAGACCAAAAACAACATATTTCGAGATTCTCAGTGACGCCAAAGATAGCAAAACTTCGCACGAGCGATACCTTGAAAACACGCAAAACAGCTTACTCTCACCGACGTTTCACAACCTGGCCACATCGAAGCAACACATCACATCAAAATTACACAACGCCAACACGCATCCAAACGGGCGAGCCCAGGGCAGCAGCAATATCTGCCGTCAACCACGGCTGAGCCCGGGGCACGGTCGCCAGCCCAGCCCAGCCACTCACACTGCTTGATGACCCGATCGCGTGCCTTCTGGTCGATGACGAGCGGGCGCACGGACTGGCGCGCGTCGCTGGCGAACGGGTTGTTGGAGCGCGGCCGGCGCAGCCAGCGGACCAGCAGCCGCACGGCCACCAGCACGGCGGTCACCTTCAGCACCAGCACCAACATCGCGCCTGTGGCACACGGAGGCGACCGGTGAAAGGACGGAGCGACGGTGGTGACATCTAGCGAGCGGCGGGGACATCTAGCGGGCGGCGGCGACACCTAGCGGCGGCGGGGACAGCTAGCGGCGGCGGGTCAGCTGGCGAGCGGCCCGATCCGTCCCTTTGGAAGGTACCACCAAGTTTTCGGGACGAGCTAGGCGTTCGTTCGCGGTTCAGTAGTTTACGGGACGTCGCCCGCAGAGGGGTAGATTGAAGGCCGCGACATATTAGATAAGGCGCAGCTCCTTGCTTCTTATTCAGGGGCACTCTTATGGTCTATGAAACAGCTATCTCAATCCGCTCATCACCGCCCGACAAATCATCGGCAGCAGGCTGTCACTGCCCACCACCTGTGCGGCACCACTTGGTGAGCTTAGTGTTTCACCACACAGCACCCCTCCAGCTTTTTCTTTAAAAAACGGAACGTGGCGCACATCGTCAACACCCTTCGGTGGAGCGTGTGACTGCAAACATCATATTGGCATTGAGGGGGCATGGCGCAACCGGGATTCGAACCCGGGCCCTCCGAGTTGGAATCCGATGGTCCGACGTTCTAACCATTCTGTCACTACGCCCCCATCCACCGGGAAGTGATTCGACAGTCGCTGGCTGGCTAATGACGTCGACACAGGGCGGAAACGAGCGTCCTAGCAGTAACCGCCCCTCCATCCTCTCCATCCCCACAACTGTCTGCTTTCGGAGAGCACCTGACATAACAGCGTTTTCATAACGCTGCCCGCCATAAACAAAGCGATGCCTGACGGAATACTATCAGACAGGGTAAAAGATCTGCCTTCGCTCAAGGAAGCTGTGGACTAGGTACCACAATCTGAAATGCAATGGCGCACAAAAAACTTCTGAGGAAATGGGTACCACAATCTGGAGTGCAATGGCGCAAAAAACAAACAAACTCCTGACTGAGGATATCTGCTACACTGCATTAAGAGGTTCGAAGCTCTTTGTAGCAATATACCGATAAATTTCGTTCGTAGCGTGTTTATCAAACCGCAAATACGTAAGGCATTAACTAAGAACGTGCAGTTGTACGCTAGCTGTATGGTGAAAAATTAAATCATTGAAAGCTCCCGTCCATATCACTGCTCAAGGCAGGTGACAAACGAAAACAAAGGCAAAATCAAAAGCAAAAGCAAAGCAGGCGGTCACCTGACGTGACGCGTACAGATCACTTGAGCACTCTTATCGCGTGACGTCATCATGACTTGGCACATCATCCAAAGACCCACACTGATCGCAAGAACGCCCCTTACTCCCCCATTGCAACACAGCCATAGTGACTTGACACATCGCAGCTTCCGAAAGATTCAAGGACGACAGTATTCAAGAGCTCGATTCGCACTCGACAGTCACTCGATAGGTGCTCGACGCGCAACCGATTGGTCCTTTTCTGACCACAATTGATGACACCTCGTTTCTGGTCCGCTGGCACTGCATAGCGGATAGCCGGTTTGTTTCCCGTGTATGAGCCAGCGCATCGCCGGTTTTTAATTGTGCGATCGTATCACCATGGCTGTAAGCTCGACAGCACTGGACGACGCTTCGCTGAAGAGAACACAAACAATAGCCGACCCGTCTCGTGGCAGCTAAAACCCAGTGTCCGGTACGACAACGCAGCATCCGAACGAGGGGGGGGAGGTCTTCGACGGAAAATGCGCGGGGCACACACTGAAACGATGTGAAACGGTGTTCTGTGCCCATTTCGGGGGCCAATATGACCATGATATAACCAAAGACTGTGCTCAAGCGAAACTTCACGATTTTCCGCACACCAACCACGACGCACAGCCCGAGTTCAACATCACACTCTGTCGAAAGATGACCACGACTAACGAACCGCAGCTGGACAAAACTTCCCCAAGCCTACATCTACCAAGGCCCATCACCCTGTCACCACATCACTGGAAATGACTTCCGCTACGGACTGTCACGGCACGCTCAGCATCATGACAGGTTCATAAACATGACAGCCACACAGTCACGCATCATGACAGGTTCATGAACGAGGATCTCATGCTGAGTTCATAGCGAACTCGCAGAAAGATCTCCTGGCCAGCATGTGCAACCATCACGCGCATCGGAGGGCAACGCACGCCCAGCAAACGCCGAAAGTCGCGCTGGTGCTGGCACCTACCAGAGGAGCGGGCGGCTGTGAGAAAGGAGCTCGGGTCCGTCTCACCACAGAGTAAGGTCCGCGCACACTCGCCAGAAGCCGGCCGGCTCCGTATCTGCGAGGCCGCCGAGCCAGGACCACCACCGATCAGGAGCTGTGCGCGGGCCCCCGTGACCTTCGACACGCACAGCGGCGCCGCCAGGGATGCGTGGAGGGGGGCCCTCGGCGGGGCGGGGCGGGGACATACGCGACGGGCACTGGTAATTTCAAACTGGACAAGGGCGACGCCAGGGACGCGTAGAGGGGGGCGGGAGGACGTCCCCGGCCAGGTGACGGAGACACTGGTCGGTGAGCCCTGATGATTCTGAACGGGGCGGAGGCGCCGCCACGAGCGCATGAAGGTGCGTCTTCGGTACTGCATTCATTAAGCGACCCCGCCTGGAGAGACAGGGCCATAGCACCCCCCCCCCCCGCATAAATCGCACAAACACATGCGCACCAGTGACCGCGACCCACGGCAAACACATAACAGGGAGCGCCCCTGCACCATGCACAACCGCATGAACATGACCAGGCAGCGGCTCGGCCAGGTCCGAGCCTCGCGCAGGACTCCCCGGAGGTGGGAACGGCCGGCGTATGCAGGCCGGTTGGCCCGCGGGGACAAGCCGACGTCGGGACCACGCGCCCGATGACGGCGAGGAGCCGCCCATGGATTCGCCCCTGGTGTCGCCGGGCACTTCGACCGCGTGGTCACTGCAGCTGATTACGTCACGGCCTCGTCGGTCGGCGGGAGCCGCTTCCGGGCGCGTTGCAGGGATCGCCACCGTGCCAGATCGGCGTACGACCTTGTGACCTATCGCAACCCTGATTCTGACAATGGGAGTGCCCGAAGCCATCGGTGCTCTGTGCACCCGACGGCCCCCGCCTGCCAGCACCCAGCACACAGCTGAGATGCAGATGGCGCTGCCAGAGTGCATACGTCACGCATGTCAGTGTATTGTGGCGTTTCATTTTCAGTGGTTTCTTCTCCTACACTTGCTTCAGTATCTTTCGATATTTTCAGTGCTAGCCAGTACTACTAACCACCAAACCAAGTCTCTGTCGCTACCTACCAAACCCTAACGCCAAACGCGAAGCGCTCGAAGGCCTTACTAGGAAGGAACGACACTGCAAGCAAACATCCAAAATCACACGACCACAAACGCTTCCTATCTACGCTCGCGCTGCACCGGACGCCACCTGGAACAACGCCCGAGCACATCGCCGCCCCGACAGGCGGACCTGCTCGCGGCCCGTACCATCCGTCCCAGCCCAGTCCGAGGATCCCATGCGCGTCGCCTCACCGGTGACACGCCTCTGCGCGGCGGCGCACACCTGACACAACAGCCGGGCGACGGCTGGCGCCTCGGAGCGCCCGCCGTCGGCGCGCGGCGGCGGCGGCGGCGGCGCTGCTGACCGGGCGCCGTGGCCGCGCGCCAGGGGAGCGACGCCGACCGAGCCGTCACCGATCGCCGCCGGTGACGGCTGGGCTGGGCACGCACAGCGTCTGTCTGCTTCTATCCACACAAGCCTGTCTGCAGGAGCGTCTACATACTACCATCCACAGGCTTATGTCCACACACGCCTGTCTGCAAGAGTATCCACACACTACCATCCACAGGCTTCCGTTCACACACGCCTGCCCGCAGGAGTGTCCACACACTACCGTCCACAGGCTTCCGTCCACATACGCCTGTCCGCAGGCATATATCCACTCACTCCTGTTCCCACGCAGGACGCTCAGGACGCGACAGCCAAAACGCGTCACCAAAGCGACAAGAGCACAGTCCACGCTTCGGTTTTGAACCCACGGCCTGTTGGGGCGTTTTTGTGCGACCGCACCAGTCTGGCGCAGTTTTTGTGCCCACAGACGGCCCACCCGGACGGTCGGCTGCGGACTGGACCACCCGTGACGGTGCGGATCTGCCGCTCCCTCGACGTCACGTATAAATGCATCACGGCACGGACTGAGGTAACAACATTGTACCCGCTACAGTCGGGGGACGCCAACAGTTTCTGTGCACGAGCTACGATGCAAAAGCGAACTGTATAGATACGGAAGATACACCGAACGGTTTAGGAATTCGGCGTTATCATAGGGTTATCACGGCGAAGGTGCGAGTTCGTGAAAATGTCGCAATAGGGATATCCGTTCATTGTGATACGATGTTCCTTGGCCCTCAACAATAGCGCACAAATGACAGCTCAATACTATACACAGCTTGGGTATTTGTATGGCTGTTTTTTTAAAGTTTGCGGATGACTGTACCCGCCCCAGGGTCCCCTGTATCAATATGTCGATGAAAGTTGTTCATGCATTTAGTCCCGACATCCAGACTAAGCCGATCCACGACACATAAACTCAATATGGCCCCTTTCCGCCTTTTAGCTGACGTCATTCAGACCCAATCCACGAGAGAGGGTTGTTTTTTGATACATTCATGATTGATACATTCGTAAAAAGTCGCATAACTACGGCACTGTTAGGCCGTATTCAACTTTAATATGGAATGATCATATGAGAACATAATTAGATCAGCCTCCAGTCTATTCCAGCTCATTAGAGCGTACAATTTTCATCCAATTATATCTAACGCGTATTTGAGACTTTAACCAGTTACTTCAGTTCAATCGACAAAATATGTGTCATCTGAAGATTTGTCCAGTCAGGGAGGTGTGCATAAATGCAAAACTACAAACACTTCAATATTTAGATACATGCGTCCAGGGGTGCCACTGTATACCTTTGGATGAGAGCCAGCCGTCTCTAGCCATTGTTTACGTATTTAAACACTACACTTGTGGCGATGCATGGAAAGAACGGGTATGTTTCATAGATGGCGCTGAGCTCTCGCACGCAGGGCTCTCAACAGGCCGTATCAATTCGCATGTCCATGTTCACGCAGTGGCGGATCCGGGGGGGGGGGGGGGGGGGCACGGGGATATGCCCCACACCTTGAGCTTCATAAAAGGCTCCGAGGCGCTCACAGCCGGCCGAACAAACACGGCCTCTCAACACAAAGCGCAACAAAACTGGACGTCTTTGGGCCTCCAGACACAAAAAATGTTGCAAGCGGAAGCGAAGGGCTCACAAGTGGAAGAAGAAAATTACTCTTCTTGATTGAGCGGGTGGTGATTGGAGAGATATTAGGGCCCTTTGAGCTGTCTAGGGGCCTGTGCTGTTGCCCGGGGCCCTACAAGTCCACTTGCAAGGGCGATCTGGTGGCTAAGGAGCCTTCCACGTTGTCATTGATATCTATGCATTTGCTGGGAGTGTCCTACGCTTTTGTTGAGCCCTATCCGCCAGCGTGCTGGGGCACTATTGTCGGTCAGGGCTCTCCAAGGATTCTTCCTATTCGCCTGAAAAGCTTTTACGCTATTGCCCGGAACTCTATATGTTGACCCGCAGGGCTACTCTCCGCTGCTTACGGGCCCGTCACATCGGTCTCCGTTCTTCTACTGACACACTCGCGATAAGCTCATGGGCCGTCTACAGCGGTCTAGGGCCCTTCCCATTTGCCGACACTTGCCCTGCCTTGCGCTCTTATTGGGGTCCCTATCGGATAATCTGCTCGGCCATACTGGATCATCCGGCCCGCCACTCCGGGTCTTTAGTATTTACTACCTGAATGGAGCGCTCTACGCTATTAGTATTTGCTGTCTGAATGGGGGGGGGGGGGGGGGGGCTCTACGCCATCATCGGGCACCATTTGTTACCTGCTAGTGGGCGTTTGGTCGTTTGGGGGGGGGGGGAGGTGGCTCTAATTTATCTTGGATACTTTTAGTTTGCTTGAAGGACCCAACGCTATTGTTGGGGGCCCTCTGTCACGCTGTTCGGGCCAGTGGCGGATCCAGAGGGGAGCGCACGGGACTATGTACCTCCTTGGGCCCCGAATGAGCTCAGAGGCTCCGACGAGGTCCACAGTCGGACGAACGGATGCAGTTTTGTAACACAAAATACATCACAATTTAATCGTTACAAAACCGTAAAAACTATTGGCGTATTCTTCGGCCAGCATCTGACGTGGGACTCGCGTACACCCATGTTGGTCTGTCGGTGAACCTCCATCATATCATCCCTCCACAGGACCTGTGGTATCATTTTACATCCGACTTCCTCAAACTTCTAGTCCAGGCACAAGTTTTCCCACACATCTATCACTGCCTTTCTGTCTGCGGAGGAGCCACTAAGTGTCAGCTTCAACGTGTCCAAAAGACACTGGACTTCGCGGCCAGACGTGTGACTGGGATGCGGCACTCGGAACACATTTCGCCGGCTCTACAAGCACTTGGCTGCACAAGGGTGGAGGGGACGGTGCGCCACCACGACCTTGCACAGGTGCAGAGAGCCCTGCACCGCAGCTAGTGTCCCCCTCCCCCCCCCCCCCAACTATAATGGACATGTCTGTTCGCGTCCGTGCATCATCGCGGGATACCCGTACCGCAGCGGCCGGAATTCTGTGGTTCCAAAGGAGTCGACTTACAAGAACTCAGCGAGAGTTTGCGCATCGATCCGTGCCATGCTGTGAGGCCAGGTCTGCGGAGCCGGCTGCCGGGGACAGCAACGTGTGATGTCGCTGCACTGCACTTGGGACGGTCTTGTTGTGGCATGCGTATTCATAGGAAGCGTTTAAAGTAGCACCTGTATTTTACTTCTATTGCACCATTGCATATTACTTTGCCTGACATTTTACAGCATCCTGTAAGTGCATTGACTGAATTCGTAATAACCACCGAGTGGTAGGATTCCAATAAATGGCTATGACTATGACTATGGCTATGATAATTCCAATAAATGGCTGTGACTATGACTATGACTATGACTATGACTATGACAATGACTATGTCTTAACCTGACTGGGCACTCCCGATCGTTTAAGGGATCACCAAGCTGGTCTTGATCCTTCTCGTTTGCTCTCAAGACCCTGCACTGTTGACAAGAGCCTCTCTGTCGACCTGCCGCGGCGCCCTCGATCGCTCAGGCACTGATCACTTCATGTACACAAGTTTGAAATATACATGATGAATATTTCCCTTGGCACATTAGCCTTACAGCAGTAGTTGCATCGGTGCTGCTGAATCTTTACGTGCAATTGACGAAGATAATTGTACATCCAACCCACGTCGGATGTCGTTTCCGCCGGTTTTCAAGTTTGTGGCACTCATACTTGTGCATCATGTTCTAAACACATTTTAAATGCTAGATGTTTTATAACCCTCCACAGCAGTCAAAGCAAAAACTCTCCTAGCATTCTTTGCTACTTATTTCCTATATTTATTTCCTAGGTGCTGCTCTCCTAGCATCCTTTGCATCTCACCTTGAACAGACCAAAGCAGAAATATCTTTTGACAATTAGCTGAGATATCAAGTTATCATGTACCCATGGTCATTGCTTTACACCATCACACCTAAATATCATCATGCATCATGGCATAGCATGCAGAACATTACCCAGTTGCACACTGTATGTCCAAATTTCAGAATTTAGCTAGAGGACTTAGAATCAAAGGCACTGCCAATTTCAGTGCAAGGAAAAACATTTTTTTCAAGAAATTATCATCCTACAAGGGTACTCCCAAATTTCCTTCCTTGCACACCAAATTTTCAAAAATCAGCACAATATGACCCGGCATGAGTTAGATCCACACAAGTGTGATCTCCATCATACAGATGGCTCCTAGGTGTCTCATGCACTAGATAGACAATTTGTGGACTGGGCCAAAAGCACAACTAAAGGGATCCTGTCAGCAACACCACTGCCCCTTATTTGGCAGCCTTACGTGACATTTTTGGACTCCTGGAGCAAGATATAAGAGCAAAACCCCAGGCACCTTCATAACAGATCATGGCTGTGTACCTGGTTCTATCTAACCACGCGACCTCATAGCCATGAATAACACCAATAAACTAACAAAAGCAGGACGCACAGCACTTACTGATTTCTGTTGTTTTTGGTACCACAAAAGGAAACAACTTTAGTATATTAAGTATGCCTGATGGGCACCATTCAATGTCTTGCGATAATTATGTGTCCACTCGACCTAGGTCGTTCACAACTTGCTCCAAAGTACTGGCCTCTGCCAACAACACACGCCCACCCAAATGGCACCAGGCGCGTGACACCGGAATCTCGTAAAATTGCACTGACAATCCTGTCTTTTGTCAGTGATGCGCTGGAAAGACCGACATTAGCTATAATGTCTTATTGAGGCTTCCTCCGTTCGTCCTGCGTTCGTTTTAATAGACAGCTGCCTATGTGGTAATAGTTGAACAACCTGATGCAACTTGCATTGTTCTTACGTGACTAGAAGTTTTCTACACCATCTATTGCCATTTTTTATCATATATTTAGAAATTAGGATTTAGAAGACATTTCTGAATTATTTAAAACCGTTTTCTCCTATTTTTGCGGGTTTGAGTAAACCGAGTGCTTGCAAAATTAGGCCCGACTCACGTGAACCAGTTGATAGAACTTGATTTTAAACTTTGGGTGATGTGGTCGCTGGGGTGTTGTATTGCCCTGGGTCGCTGGTCGCATGCGTTCAGGCTGGGTGAAGATAAAAGCCGTACTTTGTGCGTGGTGGGTCCGTGTTTCGTCCGATGTGCAGCTGAATCGTAGAATTAAGATTTAACAGGTTAGTTGCTTCCTTTCTGCCTCGTTGTGATGCTGTTTTCTACTTGTCCTGCCCTTGTCTTCTGCCATATTGACGCAGTCCTCACTCCTCGGCGTGATGGAGCTGCGGGCTGCGTGCAGTTGCAGCGTGTGAAGGAGAGATTGGGAGGGGACATTAGGTGTGTTTAAACTCCGTGTTATGTTGTCATCTTCATTATTAGCTTATTGCATATTATCCTGACCAACTTAAAATTGCTCTTTTGCCTTCACAATTGGACAAGATATGAAATTTGGCTCAGACACTATTCTTGCTCCTAAATGTTATAAAACATGTGTCCTGATGGCCTGAATTAATTTCCGATGACTTGGGATCTAAGGCATATTCAAAGCATGACCCACAAGTCACAAGCTCACTTTTAGAAGTCAGCAATGATTACTGATTTTGGGTATGTACTGTGACATCAAGCTGTAAAGATAACACCTTACCTGGACATGTCCTGCATGTCAGAGGTTGCAGCAACAATTATCTACATATATATATATATATATATATATATATATATATATATATATATATATATATATGTTTAAGTTATAACATACCTTTCATATGCTATGGCATAAGATTTAACCTATCATAAATAACAACAAACCTTTTCAAATTTTATGACTAGCAACCCCTGATCCATGATCTATGATCATGGATCATGACTACCATGATCCATGTTCATTAGCTGTGGCAGACCACTCCAGCTGCTGGGAATAGTCCATGGAAGTTGGCATTGATATTATTTATAACATATAATTACTGATGCAAGTATGATTTGGTATTATCCAATATTGTCAGCATAAAGCTAATTGGATGGAATTGAACAAGGTGTCAATATAAGTGCAAACTGTAGATTAGAGGAGTGTTTTAGTAAAAAAAGGTGATATTGGTGATGCTTGTGAACTGTGCTAGTGGCATAGAAAGGTTTGATAGTTTTATGAAATCTTAGCCTGCTGTCTGCAAAAGAAGATAGTGAGCTTGGACACTGTATTGTTCAGTGCATGACAAAACAAATGTCAGGGCTATTTCATAGTAGATCTGTACTTCTGCAAGCATCATATAGCCTTTGGTTGAGTGCAATGCTTTTGCATGCATGAAAAGGGAATGGAAGGCCCCTTGGATGGGAGAATAACAAATATTCAACCACAAGATGCATCATGACTACAATGCCATCAAGCATCAACAACATCCAAGAGTTTGGCACCCGGGCGATCGAGCGTGGCTTCGCGGCGTCTGAGGGTGATGGCGGGCACGCGCCTCGCCACCGTCGTCTGGCGCGCGATGAGCGGCGCGCCGCTGTCGCGCACCCGTGCCGAATGACCCGGCTGTGACTCCGCCACCGGCCGCAAGATGGCAGGCCGGCGCCGGCTGACGCGCCACCGGCTCTGCCGTGTTTCAGCCATGGTCTCGGTGGAGCTGCGCCTGCAGCGCGCCAGCAAGGTGTACCGCGAAGGCGAGCTGCTCTGCGGCGTGGCGGCGCTGACGGCGCGCACCGAGCTGCGCCACGAGGGCGTCTCGCTCTGCGTGCAGGGCGACGTCCAGCTGACGCACTCGGGCAAGTCGGCCGGCCTCGTCGACAGCTTTTACGCCACGCCCAAGTCGCTGCGGCTGCTGCACGAGACGCTGGAGCTGGCGCCGCCCGGCCGCCTGCCGGCTGGCCGCACCGAGGTGCCGTTCGAGGTGGCGCTGGCGGCGCGCCACGGCCGGCCGCTGCACGAGACCTACCACGGCCTGTACGTGAGCGTGCAGTACACGGTGGCGTGCGAGGTGCGGCGGGGCGTGCTGACGCGCGACGCGCGCGCGCAGCTCGAGTTCATGGTGGAGGCGCGCCGCGGCGCGGCGCCGCCGGCCGCCGAGCGGCCGCTCCAGTTCCTCGTCTCGCCGAGCAGCCTGACGCGCGCCGACGCGGCCGCCGCGCCGCCGCCGCGCTTCCGCCTGCGCGGCCGACTCGACTCGACCGAGTGCGCGCTGGGCGAGCCGCTGCGCGGCGAGCTGGTGCTGGAGAGCAGCGAGGCGCCGGTGCGCAGCATCGAGCTGCAGCTGGTGCGCGCCGAGGCTTGCGGCCGCGCCGACGCGCTCAGCCGCCAGTGCTCCGAGGTGCAGAACATCCAGATCGGGCTTGGCGACGTGCCGCGCGGCCTTGCCATCCCCATCCACATGGTGTTCCCGCGGCTCTTCACGTGCGCCTCCGTCAGCGCCGCCCACTTCCAGATCGACTTCTCCGTGAACGTGGTGGTGGTGTTTAAGGATGACCACCTGGTCAGCGAGAACTTCCCGCTGAAGCTGACGCGCTACTGAGCCGCCCCTGGCGGCGACCTGCCGCAGTGCTAGTCGCAGGGCGTGCGGACCTGTTGCGGTCAGGAGGCGGCAGGTGGCGGTCCTGTTGCCGGCGGGCTGTGTCGGGTGAAAGGCTTTGGAGCGAATGGCCACGGGAAACCGGAGAGGCATCATGCAGCTCCAGCTATCTACTGTGACCATGGGATGAACACCCGGATTATCTGTTGGAGCAGAAAGTGCCTTGGTCATCGCGAAAGCTGGAAGAAGTTTACCCATTCTGCATAGCTATCTGCACAATTGTATGCATGCTTGTATTACATGCGTGTATTGAGGTACTGAAAATATTGGTATTTGTAATATGTGCATTTTAAAGACCCTTTTGACTCGAAAGGGGCATGCTGCATAGAGTGCTTGACCAATTCCTCATTCAGTTTTTAATGCAATAGACCTACTTTGACGTTGGAAGAGCAATCTTCACCGGGTGTTTACATGCTGAGTGATGGCTCCATTGCTGCCTGTTACTCTCTGCCCACGAAGCCTATCGGGATGAAACGTTGTGATATGACGGCACAGACAAACGGGATCAATGCATAAAGATAGGATACGCGTGTACCATAGATGATGTCCTTGCGGGGCGCGCAAAACAGCATGTGCGATTTCGTCGTGCGTGATTATCGTGTGAGAAAAGAGAGGTGTCAGTCACGCCTTTGTATTGAGTGTATCGAACCGCTGCACCGTGCAATGTTGTCCGGTAATATTTCTATACATGGTAGTTCGTCCGGGAATACATGACGTATTTTTCAAGGGACGCGTTTCCTAATATGGCTATTCGTCGTAAAGGTGACTTGTCGAAACACATCTGTGTACTTCCCATGTATTCCCGTGTACCGCATTTATGAATATATTCTGGCACGTTTTGCCGCGAATATTCTGCATTGTTTCACATGGGTTTGGCTTATGATAGCCGCCAGCATTTACCAAAAACGAACAGTTGAGGCACTGAAAGGCTACAAACGACAAACTTTATCACGTTGATCTCTTTGGCCTCCTTCATTCTCTACTCCCCACACACGTGTAGCTTCTCTGCTGCACCCCGTCTTACTCCTACCGCGCATCTCCGCGACAATTTACTGTGAGTGGGCCTGTCCGTTAGTGGATGTCTGCCCTCTCCCTGGCCATAACTAGCGTTGTGACTTGTCGCGCCTGGCTTAAGTCTGACGGCTTCCAGCTCTTTTCTCTTGCCTAAGCTGACCCGGTCACCGGCTAGTGGGTAATGGGTAAATGTGCTGGTGTGTGTCACTGCAGACAAGCAGCCTGCATGTCGCATGTCGTCTCTGAGGGCTAAGAGGGCACCACCGCCGCTGCCTGGCTCTCTGACCGACATCTGTGCACCGTCCCTTCCTCTCGTAGACTCCAGACTACGCCTTCCCTGCTCTTCCCGCCAGACCCTCCTGCCCTGGTGACCCTCCTCCTGAGGATCCTGCCCCTGCCAGCTCTCCCCCGCTCCCTGATGGCCCTCCCTGTGACTTCTCTCCCCCTCTCCCTGACAACCCTTCTGAGGACCCTCCCTCTGACAGCTCTCTCCTCTCCCTGACGACCCTCCCCCTGAGGACCCTCCCTCTGACAGCTCTTCTACTCTGCCTGACGACCCTCCCTCCCGGAGGACCCTCCGCCCTGACGACCCTTTCCAGAAGAGCCTCCCCCGACACCGCTCCCCTCCATGACAACCCCTTCCCTGAGGACCCTGCCCCTGACAGCTCCTCCGTCTCCCACCAGGCGGCTCCTCTGGGCGCGTCGGTGGCCGCCGCGCGGACCGGATGATAACGCCGCCCCTGCGCCGCCTGCTGCCCGCCCTCGCCCGCCGACCGCCGGCCGGCCCGCGCCCTCAGCCGGCCAGGCAACTGAACACCATGCAGCTGTCGACCGAGCAGCTGCGGCCGCTGGCCACGCCCGAGGTGGCGCTGCTCGCCGACATGTTCCGTCGCCATGGTTACCAGCTGCGGCTGGCCGGCGGCGCCGTGCGGGATATTCTGTCGGGTGAGCTAGCGGCCACGTGGCTGAGAGCTTCTGATGGTGGTGAAGATAGGCGTGGTTTCTGAGTGACATTGAGTGCATGCTCGCAACCAGTTCACCACCTGTGCTGGCACTGTATATCGAGCGGATTTGTTCTGTTTGTTGTTTGTTTTTCGTTTTTGTCTTCTGAAGCGATGACGCGATCGAAACTACGTGTGTACGTGTGTCGCCTCACAACTACAAAAATATGTTATCTCGTGGGTGGGGCAAATTAAAAACGGACGGTCGGCTTCCGCTATGTCTGTTTCATGATCCAGTGCCGGCCAGCACTCGGCAGTGGTGACCTGTAAATCGATTAGACTGGATCCGTAAACCTGCTTATGCCTGTAATCCCTGAAACCCCTGTAAATCAGCGTATTGTGCTATGTGCCCGGACAATCCGAGCAGTTCTCCTTCCCCTTCCTACGGATAATCCGGGCAGTTCTCCTTCCCCTTCCAACGGATAATCCGAGCAGTTCTCCTTCCCCTTCCGACGGATAATCCGAGCAGTTCTCCTTCCCCTTTCAACGGATTATCAGAGCAGTTCTCTTTCCCCTTCCAACGGATTATCAGAGCAGTTCTCTTTCCCCTTCCAACTGACAATCAGAGCAGTTCTACTTCCCCTTCCAACGGACGTGGCGAACACGACGGCAGCCTCGTCGCCTTGTCGCGCCCGCGTGCCGCGGTGGCGCTCGCGCAGCCTCGGGCCAGCTCCGCTGTCGGCACGGCCCGGCCCGGCGCGTGTGACCGGCCGACCCCGGCGACCCCGGCAGGCATCGTCCCCCACGACCTGGACTTCGCCACGCCGGCGACGCCCGGCCAGATGAAGGAGCTGTTCGCCAAGGAGGAGGTGCGGTTGATCAATACCAAGGGCGAGCGGCACGGCACCATCACCGCCCGCATCGCCGACGCCGTCAACATGGAGGTCACCACGCTGCGCGTGGACGTGGCCACCGACGGTCGGCACGCCGAGGTCAGAGGGCAAGGGTTAGACGGTATGCCGGGGTCAGAGGGGGAGGTTCAGATGGTATGCCGGGGTCAGAGGCTTTGCCGAGGTCAGGGGCGAGGGTCGGAGGACATGCCGGCCATTGTGACGGTCATTGTCGGCAGGCCGTGGAGGCGTCCGCTAGTCTGGCGCTGGCTTGCACTCGGCAACGAATCTGTGTCGCAGACTCGCGCGCGTGCTTTACGCCTAGGTCCAGAGAAAGCCAGTAGATTCCAGGGACTACGATTTGGTGTGGAAATTGACGTCATCTCATTTGAATGGGATACCTATGCCTGATAGCACATGGAGTCCACGACTAGGGCGTCTAACGCGGTTGTGCTTGAACCATGACAGTCGTGGGTCAGTGCGGAGATTGTGCGTATGCGTGTGCGTTTGCGTTTGCGTTTGCGTTTGTGTGTGTGTGTGTGTGCGTGCGTGCGTACGTGCGCGCGTGCGTACGTGCGTGCGTTGGCAGCAAGTGCATGCGCTCGCTCGGGGTGCTCGCGCCGCATGGGCATGGCTGGCCGCCGGAGCCGCCGCGTGCTCACCGCGCCCCGTGCGCCGGCGTCGGCAGGTCGAGTTCACCACGGACTGGGAGCTGGACGCCGGCCGCCGAGACCTCACCGTCAACGCCATGTTCCTCGACTTCGACGGCACCGTGTACGACTACTTCGACGGCGTCGACGACCTTGAGCACCGGAGGGTCAGGTCAGCTGGGCGCAGACGGTCCGGCCGCTCCGCTGTCTGCTCCAGGGGTCAGACTGGCCGTGCTAGTCGTGCTGACAAGGCCGGGGTCAGACTCCGGCAGTCAGACTGACCGTCCCGGGCTCTGATTGGCCGAGCTGGGGCTCAGGCTGACCCGTATGGGCGCGTGTTCGGCTGGTCCCGGGCGTGAGATCGACTTATCAGCTACCGTCGCGATAGCGCGCGACCAGTGACCGGGTAGGTATGAGAGTGTACCGTCTCTCACAGTTGGTGAAGACCAGCGTTCTTGAGCCAGGGTGCCGAACCCAGACAGACGTTTTCAACCTCTCCACCAACCCGCGCACCGCCGGAGCCTCCGAGGCCCCGGCCTTGACGTCTCGCTGATTTATAACGACAACCTACCGATGTATGTTGCGTTCCCTTCCCATTCGATTCTATATTATACCCTGTTCATCCCTCCCGATCCTGTATCGCCACTGACCTCAGCTCCGGCTTTTGTCGTGCCTTGACCTTCCCCCCGCCACCGCCGCAGGTTCGTCGGCGATCCGGCCCGCCGGATACAGGAGGACTACCTGCGCATTCTGCGCTATTTCCGCTTCTACGGCCGGCTGGCGGCGGCGCCGGACGCGCACGAGGCCGCCTCGCTCGACGCCATTCGCGCCAACACGGCCGGCCTGGCGCGTATCTCCGGCGAGCGGCTCTGGTCGGAGCTGCGGCGCATACTCGCCGGACGGTACGGAGGCGGTGCGGGCGGGGGTGAACAGCACAGGTGGGCGTGGACGGTACGGAGGCGGCACGGGAGGGGTGAACGGTATGGAGGCGGCACGGGTGGGTGTGGACGGTACGGAGGCGGTACGGGCGGGTGGGGGGGGGGGGGGGGGGAGCAGTACATGAGGTGGGGGACGGCACGGGTGGAGGTGGACGGTACGGAGGCAGCACGGGGGGTGGAGATGGACGACACGGAGACGGCACGAGCGGGGGTGGACGGTACGGAGACGACACGGGCGGGGTTGGACGGTACGGAGACGACACGGGCGGGGGTGGACGGCACGGGTGGAGGTGGACGCCCCGGAGGTGGAGAATGCTGAGTGGGTCGGCGGAACCGGCGGCTGGGGCTGTTGACGATGCTCGCTAAACTGCTGGGGCGCCGTCGTGACCTGACCTTACGTGATATCTGCCGCTGCTCGAGGCCCCTACCGGCACCTAGTGTCGCCATATACCTTACGTTCTGGTTAAAGCCTGACGTGCGGGCTCGTACCGCAATCTTGCAACCATCTCGGCCCACGGACGTGCACTTGGACCCAGCATCTGTCCCTGCGCCAGGTTTCCGTCGCGACATTTGCCCCTGCGCACGCTGACCCGGCCGCCGTCCGCCCGCGAGGCCCCCAGCCTGACCCGGCGCCCGCCGCTGCGCCAGGTTTCATCGGGAGCTGATGCTGACTATGCTGGAGGCGGGGGTGGGGCCGCACGTGGGCCTGCCTCCCTCGCCCGACACGGACGAGTTCGAGCGCGTCTGTGACCGGACGCAGGCGGTGTCGGAGCCGCAGCCCATCATGCTGCTGGCCGCCCTGCTCCGTAAGTCCGCGGCTCGAGGCGGCGGCCGTTGCCGCCGAGCCGGCCTTGGCAAATGACGTCTTGTGGTCTGACATCGTGGGTGCTGAGACTTGGGGATAGACGGAGGGATTTCGGCCAGTGGTCAACGCTGTGATATGAGGGCTGAACGAGCCTGCGCTGTCGTCGTTTCCCGCATGTTCAGCGTGTGTGTCGCCGCCTATCTGGCTGTCCCGTCATCGCCACGCTTCCATGCCGGCCGGCAGGTTCTTCGGAGGAGATGATGAGCCTGCACCAGCGTCTGAAGCTGTCGGCGTTCGAGCGCGACCTCGGCCTCTTCATCATTACCCACCGCGAGATGGCGCCACACCCGCAGCCGATGAAGCCGCTCCAGCAGCTGCTGGCCGACTTCCGCGCCAGCAAGCGGCTTGGCAAGCAGTTTTTAGTTGAGCTGGCGAGGTATAGAGGGCAGCATGAGTTGGCGGCGGAGTTCGAGGCTTGGGAGTTGCCGAAGTTTCCAGTGACGGGAGCGACATTGAAGGTAAATAAGAGATCTTGTTGCTGCAGGGGAACACTTATGACTGGATTGATCTGGATTACTGCCACGCACACCCCAATGCTGGTGTTATATTCCGGTGATTTTAGGCATGTTTGTGCTCATTGGTAAAATGTCTTAAGAATGAATGGTGTGATATACCCCGGAATTCGGCCACGGTCTTGGTATAGAGAGGAAAGGCAATAAAATAATGTTCGCATTAGCATTGCTCATGTCGAAAATATGCGATTTTTTAGATGCTAGAGAATCTGACCAAATATGGGGTGCCGGTAGTGTAATGGTTAACGCGTCTGCGTTAACCACTGCGCGTCTGGGAAACCAGAGGTACGGGGTTCGATTCCCCCCGGTGCCCGCCCGTCCTGCCAGGGTGAGAGGCAGGCGATGCCAAATAGCCTCAGCAGCTGAGTGCGTCATAAAGCCCCAGTGCCACACACATCTGGCTAAATGAAGATGCCAAGCAGTCATCAGTATATTTTATTAGAATGTTCGGCGTTTCAGTGCAGTTTCATTGCCACGACTGATGGGACCATAAGGGCTTCGTTTAAATTTCAAGTATTCCCGTTGCATATGCCAATGATTTCTTGATAATGTAAAATAAGTACCCTGTGACATCTTGATTGAAATTTAACTTTTCAGCATAAGAATTCGTTATGTCGGTTCATTTCATGTTTTCGCAGGTTGCATGGCATCTGTTATGCGTTCAGTGTCTTCACCTTGGTAGGTTAACAGCTTGCTTCGCGATGCATGTACTACGTGCTCGCACACTTCCACATGATGTCGCCGGGCGCTGCCGCCACGTCCTCCCCGTGCGTGCTGTCCTCGACGTCTCTCGGCCGTCGCACACTGTCACGTGCTCGGCGTGTCTAGCCGTGCCCGGCTCACCCCCTCCCCCTCCCCTCCCGCAGGCGGCAGGGGTGCCAGCCGGCCGGAACATGAGCCGGGTGCTGGACCGGCTGCGGCAGGACTGGATCGACGCCGACTTCGCGCTGGACGAGCCGGCGCTCGCAGCGCGCGTGCCGGCCGTCCTGGAGGAGCTCGGCGTGCGGGCCGACGGCAAGCGGTGATTGGAGGGGCGCGGCGCTCGGCGGCCGCCGCACGTCACATGCCGCACGTCGCACTTCGCATGTCGCACGTCGCGTGTCGCACGTCGTATGTCGCACGCCGCCTAGTCGGGAGATGGGGCCGTTAGGAGTGGTGCAGACCGGCGTGCGGCGCGATGCAGGTTGGCGTGCGGCGGGGTGCAGACTGGCGTGCGTCGGGATGCAGACTGGCGTGCGGCGGGATGCAGACTGGCGTGCGGCGGGATGCAGACTGGCGTGCGGCGGGATGCAGACTGGCGTGCGGCGGGATGCAGACTGGCATGCGTCGGGATGCAGACTGGCGTGCGGCGGCGTGCAGACCGGCGTGCGGCGAGATGCAGACTGGCATGCGTCGGGATGCAGACTGGCGTGCGGCGGCGTGCAGACTGGCGTGCGGCGGGGTGGTTTGTGACGGCGGTGTACTGATGGCGCTGAGGCTGGTTCGACAGGAGGGTGGGAAGGACTAGGGAGAGGAGCAGTTGGAGGTGCCACGATCGCACTAGATCACCACGAAGTTTGCAAGTGGTGATCATCACCACGGCACTTGAAAGATGCGCACATGCGGATTAGGCTTATTTTCCTCCTTGCACTGAATCGTTTCAGTCCAAATGTGGTCTGGAAATGAGTTGCTGTTAGGCCGTGACCTACTGCTCAGCGTCGTCAGCGTCGTCATCAGCTACCGGTCCCGTGGATTCCAGCATAACGCACCGCCTGCCCTCTGGATGTCATGTTCTGCAAGGCTCATCCAATTGTGATGAATCGCGCGACGTTCGTGTAGTCAAGATGCTGCTTTGTTTCGATTCCTGTTTGTATGGATCTTTTGGTGTGCTTTGTGGCAATACACATATGTATGCGGTATGGGGCGGTTTTTGCGTAGTTATTCAGAGATAACGAGCATAAATACACTTCTGCTGATACGCCTTGGAAGGGTCGAAAATGCGATCCTATAGAACGCTCTGTCTCGGCTCCGTTTTAACTTTCTTGGGCGGGATGTATTTACACCAGGTATGCGCACCAATCTAGTGAGAGATCCGACAGGTACATCCGGTGTTGAGCTCATCCTCCCTGACATGTCTGGTTCAAATGAGAACTGACATCTGTGAACTTGATGCGTCACCAGTTGGTTCATTGCAGCCGTCCATTCGGATAAAAAGCATAAATGCACTTTTGCTGGAACGTCTTGGAAGTGTCGAAAATGCGAGCCTGTAGAGCGCTCTGTCTCGGCCCCGTTGTAACCTGCTGAGGCGGGATGGATTCGCACCTGACATGCGCACCAATCTAGTGAGATATCCGACAGACATCCGGTGTTGGGCTCATTCTCCCTGACATGTCTGGTTTATACGAGAACTGACATCTGTGAACTTGATGCGCCACTGGTTGGTTCACTGCAGCCGTCCATTGGCATTCGTTTGTTGACATTGGTGCAGAAAGTCGCACATCATGTTTACTGTTAGATAGGGGTAACGCCTTGTGACGCGTCAATCACGCACCATCCATGGAACGAATTGGCAAATTCTGACCACAGAAATTAATTCAAAAGCACTTAAACATCCGCAAAACAGCTCCCACCGAGTTGAACCCGTATCAGCCGGTGTCGTACCGGGTGAGCGTGGGCCAGCCTCGCCCCAGTGCCCCACGCCCTTCTCCCTCCGCCGTCAGGCCCACAGCTGAGCCCGTCGCCGCGCGACACACAGCGACCTGGCTTCCGGGCGGCGCACGTCCGCGCGCGTGAAGTTCGCGCGGTTTTCGCCCCTCCCCCCTTCCTCTCGTGGGAGAAAGCCGACGGCCGGCCAGCCGCGCCAGTCTCGGCGCACTACCGGCCGCGGTGTGGTCCGTGTGACGTCACCGGGCGCCGACGGCCGCCGGTCGGCCGCGACCGCGCAAAACGGCTCCGATTACGGAAACGGGGGTGTGACGGTGGTGAAAAGCGGAGTGGAACGGCGCCCTGTGGGCTCGGCGAGCTCTGATCGGGAGCGGGTCAGCGTGACGATTTCAGAGGGCGAGGCGGCGCGGGAGAGAGCGGTAAAATGGATCGCGTGAATGAAATCGTACGGACTGAAGACCTTCTCCATGCGGTCTGAGATGCTACATAGTCGTTGTTAGGCGTGACAATGCGCAGACATATGAATGTACACTGTCATTCTTTGAGCTTGACTTGCGGATGGAGGCGGTTTCGGAGCCGGTTTTTTCCGGATGGAGCCGGTTTCGACTGGAACTGACTAAATAATGACGGACGTGAGATGGCGATCACGCTGGTCGAAACGTTGATTTTGCTGATAAGAGGGGTATGTGAAGCTCCTGATAGACACAGTTGCTTCCGGAACACCTCGGATCCATTATTAGTTGTTACTAGCAACGGACGAGCCCAGGAGTTTTGTCGTGATGAAGCCAATCAAAAAGTGTAGTAATACAGCCCATCTTGAGGCTGTCAGGCTCAGAGCTCCTGGATGAATCATCGGCACATAAAGCTGCTATGAACCGTGCGATATCTTAAGCAGGCTGCGCAAAATGGGTAAAGTAAAACACTACGCTTGTGGGCATCTAACTTTATCAATCTCGGCCAAAACCCGACGCCCGCCAATGCACCTACTGCGCCCATTGAAACGGTGCTAAATGTTGACTGCGGGTAGGAGTCAACTCAATGCACTGCGATTCATACTGGGAGCGGATTCTGCGAAAACATTGTTGGATCATACATGTGCATCTGTCCAGAAGGGCACAACATGCAATACCGAGATGCGTCAAAACAGTGTTGGATCAAACGTGTGCATTTGTCCAGAAGGGCGCAACATGCAACACCGAGATGCATCAGAACAGTGCTGGAGCAGACATGTACATCCGTCCAGATGGGCGCGACGTGCAACACTGAGCCGAAGTCAAAACAGTGCTGGATCAGACGTGTGCATCTGTCCTGAGGTGACGTCAAAGCTGTGCTGGAACACATGTTAGCATCTGCCCAGAAGGGCGCGGTATGCAACGCTGAGCTGACGTCACCGGCTGCAGCCCGCACTGACAAGCCGCCCTCTCGCAGACGAGCACGGTGCGGTGCGATGCAGCACAAGGCCACCTTTCACTCACTCCGCGGATGGGGTCGGAGACCCCGTCTGCTCCCACCTCGGGTCGCAGAGACGAGCACGGGCGTCACGTCTTCTCCCGCCGTCGGTCGTAGGCGCGCCCCTCTCTCAGGTGGTGTCGAGGAGCGTGTCTGCCTCCACCCGGTACCACGGCAAACGTCGGCTCATGGCTCCACTTTGATTAGCGATTGTGGCAGCCACTGTACAGATAGTGGGCCGGCTGGCTGCTGGCCTGGGAGAAGCCCGGCGGAAGGCAGCCACTGTATAGACAGTGGGCGATCTGGTTGCTGACCCGGGAGAAGCCCGGCGGAAAGCAACCACTGTATAGACAGTGAGCTTTCTAGTTGCGGACCTGGGAGAAGCCCGGCGGAAGGCAACCACTGTACAGACGATGGGCCGGCTGGCTGCTGACCTGGGAGCAGCCCGGCGGAAGGCAACCACCGCATGCCAGTGCGCGGAACAAAAAGATCCGTTCACTTCTGGCCGAAAAGAAACGGCACCAGGAACGCACGCTCAGCTTGAGCCGTTCCACTTTGGGGACCGGTCTTGCAGGAATCTGGTTCTGGCTCACCTTAAGCAGCTCACGCTGCTTAGTTACTTAAGTCAATGCTTAAGTCACCAGTAGAAGCGAACATGCTTGCAGAAGACACCAGCTGTTTAAAGCCGTGGGCTAGGTTCGGGTATGACTCGCACCCTTACCCTCATGTGCAATCCTGATACATGCATTGGTAGTGTTATGGGGTTGTAGACCAAATCACATACTGCAGATTAGTGTTATCGCAACCTGTGCAACAAAAAAACAAAACACGAACGGCATCAGGCTTGTGCTGGACTCGATTCCCTATTTGAAATCAATTCAATAGTCGTCTCAATTTTATGTGAATCAAGCTTGGTCTGCATCCATTAAAAGCCCTTACTTCTGACGTGAGTCAGAACTGGAGAGCTGTTTCCAAGCTTGACACGTGTTACCGCAATGCTATCTCGTTTGGTTTCCACTAAGATTAGACATAATTATTGTTTATTTTTGAAAGCTATTAAATTTACCTCCGTTCCTAAAGATATTGACTATACTTTCGTGGTGCTCGAAAAAAAACCAAAGGTCACTCGATTCTGGTCACCCGGACCATCTAACTCAACGTTAACTTGCTTTGAATTAGTATTAAGCTATAAGTGCCACTAGAGATTCAAAGAGTGGTGTTTGCAATGAATGATGGCAATGGATTCCAGAAACGGGCCAACAAATCTGCCGAGAAGTGGAAGCTTGCTTGAGGTCCTCTATCTACTGATTACAGGCTTGCGGTCATATGACTTGAAGCCTGGAGACAAGATGCATGAGCAGGATTACACAGTTATTATATGCAAAGTATTCGGGAAAAATGAATGGACAAAGCTTATAACGTAAACTTAGGCATCTCATATTTTCATGATTCATGGGCAAACAAACTTTTTGATGAATCCGAGAAGTTATACATTTCCTAGGCATGCATCAATGCGCGGAATGTTTTTTTAGACGCGCAGTGGTTCTGGCCATTGCCATAGTCGGTCAGTCTATCAAACTGTCGCAGCGTTGATGCGCGTTCTTGAATAAAAATGCTTACTTTGAGTCTAACCACGCGGATTCAGCAACAATTGTGACATTTTTCTGTTTGATTCAGAATCAACCAGAATAGCTTATTTTAGTTTGTTTCAATCGAAAAATCATTCAAAACAATGTTTGGAAAGCAAATTTGATTCCAATTACGATTCGGATGGGAGGTATTTTAAACTGAGATCAATGCGTTCATATTGTTTTAAATCGGGCATAAGTCGCCACGTAACGCGTGCTTTCCGGCTGCTGACGTCTGCTAACAACCTCCATGCCTGTACGTACATCGCACATGCACTATCCCATGCACCGTCGCACACCCTTCATCTTGTGACGAACTGCTTCAAGTGCATGCCGCTCCGGCTGCGAAGCGGTGGTATGCGGCACCAGCGAGTCTTCCACGCGGCGCCAGCGAATCTTCCACAAATGCATGCTGCGATGATTCCCACTGCGAAGCGGTGGTATGCGACGCGAGCAAGTCTTTCACGCTGCACCAGCGAATCTTCCACAAGTGCATGCCGCCATGACTCCGACTGTGAGATGGTGGTATGCTACCAGCGAGTCTCCCACAAGTGCACGTTGCGATGATTCCCACCGCGAAGCGGTGGAATGCGAGACCAGCGAGTTTTCCACGCGGCGCCAGCGAGCCTTCCACTAATGCATATTGCGACGATTCCCACTGCGAAGCGGTGGTATGCGACGCGAGCGAGTCTTTCACCCTGCACTAACGAGTCTTCCACAAGTGCATGCTGTGGCGAGTCCCACTGCGAAGCGGTGGTATGCGACGCGAGCGAGTCTTTCACCCTGCACTAGCGAGTCTTCCACAAGTGCATGCTGCCACGACTCCGGCTGCGAAGCGGTGGTACGCGGCGCGAGCGAGTCCCACGCGCGGCCACACCAGCCAGCCAGCGTGGACGGTCCGTATCGGACAAGCCAGGTGTCCACCCCCCGCGGGAGAGAGTCCAGAGCTTGAAGAGCAGGCCTGACAGGGGCAGGGTGGCCGACCCATGCTTTGGGGACGTAGTTACTTTCTCCGCATCGGCTTTCCAATGAACCGGCTGAACCGAATCGCATCAATCTGCCTAAAGACCTCGCAGGCCCAAAGCGACGTTACTTAATCGAAAAAGAAATCGTATTACGTACAGAAGATTGACTTCATTTTTCAAGCGGTATATGATCCGACGTTGATAA